CCCCCGCTCCCGGCAGGAGCACGGAGGCCCCCGGAGCCGCTCCAGTGCCCACCTCGACATGCAAAACCAACAGTCGCATCCCCTCCGGTTTGGATATCCAAACGGTCCAGCCCAAATGCACACCTCTCCTCGCCCTCCCCCTCCAGGGACACCCTGTGCCCTCACTGGCACGCAGAAAGAGCTTACTCGAGCCTTGACGTCCCTCACGAGGTCCAGGTAGGGCATCCCTGGCTTCACCATCAGCATGTCCGCTCCCTCACGCACGTCCCGGTCCTGTGAGGGGAACACGCGCGTGACCCCGGCAGCTCAGGGTAGAATTAACGTTTTCCAGCAAGTCCACAGTTGGTTTTCCCCAGAAGTTTTGACCCAGTGGTTGGTTTTCCCAGGAGGGATCACGGGAGGGTTTGGTGAGCCCCTAACAGCCACAGGAGCCCACAGATGGGCTGCGATGGGGGAGAACCGATGCTCCCCTCACCAGATGCACAGTGCCTGGGGAAAGCCGGTGGCTGCGTGTCCCTGGACCCGACACCCCGAGCCGCGGCAGGGCACGGGGTCACCAACTCCTCGGCTCCCAGCACACAGTCCTTGGGCCCATGCTGGGGACCAGCTCTCCGGCAGGCTGATGGGCATCGCATTTCTCTCACTTGAGAGGGAAGAGCCTCGGCCATTTTGGCTGGCATGCCTCCTACTGCCTTCTGCCTCCAACACCCCTGGGCTTGCTCTTCCCCAAACCCATGACCCTTGGTGCCGCCCTGGGCAGCCCGACCCTGGCTCACTCACCACAGCGCGCATCGCCAGGCCCCTGGCGCCTGGGGGCAGCTGGTAGCATCGCCTGTCGCCGAAGGCGGGCTTGGATAGCGCAGCGTCCCTGGTGACGGGCAAGGCAGAGGGCAGGGGATGAGGACCAGCACCGCTCCCCGTGCCTTTCACCTCGTACAGCTTCAGAAACGTGAGGACAGACTAAGACAAGTGCCTGAGCCACCAGGGCCAGGAAAGGGGGGGGCTCTCCCGACCTGCCTCAGTGCCCCAGGATCGCTCTGGGAGGCCCTGGGAGCCATGCTTCAACACCCGCTGCCCTCCCCATGCCCAGAGTCTGGGGTAAAATCATGTCAGATGTTTTCCTTTTGCTCTTTTCCGAGGCAGGTCCCTCAGGGATGCCCCATCAGGGTCAGGCCTTTCTTGGGACGAGGTCTACTAGTTGACTGAGCTGAAGCTTGTCCCTAAAGCCACCCTTTGGGGCAACACCGGCTCCTGTGACTCCCCTCCTCACTGCTCCTGGCAGCTGCAGGCAGCTCCCTCTCTGCCTGCCTTGCCACCAGCACCCAGGACGAGCGGGTGAAGGGGTGGGATGGAAGATCACCCAAGGTTATCTTCCCACCAGCCAGCCTCTCCTGGGCAAGGTATGTTTGTCTCCCTTTTGCACCGGGAAGTAGGAGGAGAGCGCTCCAAAGCGACCAGCATGGCCCCAGCTGTGGCCCAGGCTCTGGCCGAGCCCCGTTCCCAAATAACTATCTGGGGACGCACCTCCCGGCCAGCCCAGCGCTGGCTGGGGACACTCCCGGCTGAGGGACAGACCCACCTGAAGGGACCGTAGAAGCACGAAGCAAACTTGGCGCTGTAGCTCATCACTGAGACCTGCAGAGGAGAGCGGAGCTGTGAGGGCCAGAAGCACAGTGCTGCATCCCCACGCCGGGGCAGTAGCGATTCCCTCCCACAGCTGTTTTATACTCTGCCCCACATCCTCCTTCCCCTGCCAGAGGCCTGGCACCCTCGCTGTCCCTGTGTCTGGCCAAGGACATTCCCTTCCTGTGTGCACCGGGGCAGGGAAATGCCTGTGGCATGTCCTGGGCAAGGTGGGGGTTTGCTTCTCCCACCGCTTGCCCAGGACCTGTTGTGGTGCAGCCTCCCCATGGACGTCGCTCCTGCCTTTGGCACACACAGATCCCGAGCTCACCTTGTTGCCCAAGTCATTGGAGATCAGCGCCTTCTTCATGGCCGCGATGCGCCCATCCATCATATCTGAGGGGGCAACGATGTGGCAGCCTGCAGGGAAAGAGCAGAGATGCCGAGAAGTGCCCGAGGCTGTGACTCTGCCTCAGGAGGAGGTGACCCCAGGGCCTGAGGGGCCCCGGGTGCCTGCAGCCCTGCCGGGGCCAGCGCGTGGAGGGCTGGGGGAGCCTCCCCCGCCTCGGAGCAAAAGCTCTCCCAGTTGGAGCCAGGCCCAGTTTGCTTTTGGGCCTGCTGAAAGCGAGAGGGGGCCAGTCTGCGAGAGTCAAACTTGGGCACCGCTGCCGGGAGACTCCTCACCTGCTTTGGCATAGGCCAGCGCCACTTCGGCCAGCCGCTGGCAGCTGATCTCGTTCTGGATGGTGCCGTCTTCACGCAGGATGCCTAGGAGACAAACCTGGGGTTAGGCGAGGGGCCGGATGGCCGGTTGCCTCAATCCCTAGGGTGGGAGCGTGGCTCTCGCTACACAGATGCTCAGAGCATCAGCGGGGAACACGTTAAGGGAGCTGGATAAGGACCAGGGGACCAACAACGCAGCCCTCCAGGGACCGGACACAACACGTGGGTGCTCCAGGGGAGAGAAGACAGAGATGGGGTACACAGACGGGCACTCAGACAGATTCAGATGGCCAGGGAGTGGGTGCCTTAACCACCCGTGCCTCCCAGCCTGCTCTCAAAACCTAGGAGAGGTCCCTCAGGCTCAACTGCACCAGTACGGGGAAGCCAAGTCTTGGCGCAGGTCCCGGCAGCACCCAGAGCTCCTCAGCAGAAAACGGCAAACCCCCAGAGACTCCCAGTCCTGGGAAGGTGCCCGAAGAGCAGCCCGGGACCCCAGGCTGTGCGCTCACCGCAGTGCCCGTGGGAGGTGTAAGGGCACAAGCAGACATCGCAGGCTATGAGCAGCTCTGGGAAGGTGGAGCGGATCCTCTTGATTCCCTGGATGGCAGGCGTGTCCTCCGCATCAGCGGCGGAGCCTCTCTCGTCCTGTGAGAAGATAAATGCCTCAGCACACAGAGCCAAGGGCTTCCCACCGGCTCCTCCGTGGCAGCAGTTCTGCCCAGGAAATGTTTTCTGAACCGTGAGACCCTGTAACGCAGAGCGGTGTGACCACCAACGATGGAAAAGGGCTATGGAGTAGTGCCTCTGAGCAGGGAGTGCAGGTCGCAGGGCCACCTGCAAGAGCTCTGGGAGCTTTTTGGGTATCATTACAGTCTCCCATCCCCATCCTGCTCTGCTGAGCGGGGTGCAAGCACGCCCAGAGACCCTGAACTGCTCCTGTTTGATCAGGAGACCCCCCCTGGCCCCACACTGCTCTCCCACACCCCTGTGGCTACCCCAAGCCCCCTGCCACCACCACCCACGCTGACCTTGTGGACCCTGCTGGGCACCCCGAAGATGAGCACACACTTCAGACCATCTTCGACGAGGGGACGCAGCATCCCCTCCAGCTTGTTGACTCCGTACCTGAGAAGAGCAAAGTGAAGGGGGCTGCCAGGCACCCAGACCTGCTCTGTGGGGCAAGCTGGTCTGTGAGCGATCCAGCATCCACAAGCATCCATGCCAAGCAGCGGCTGGAGGCATGGGGGAGGTGTTGCCTGAACATTGGGAGGAACAATCCAGGACCTTATCGGGGCCTACAGGAGCATTATCTACCCGGCATGGACACTCTTTGCTCTGAAAGGACAAGCATGCCCTGCCCTTGGATCCCTTATCTCGGCTTCCCGGTTGCAGATCCAGCCCGCCTCCCCACAGGACCATCCCCCTGGGGCCTTTCTGACCACAGCCCTGCTAACGGAGCGGCAGATGAAGATGGGAGCTGCCAGTCCAGCAAGATCTAATGCAGGACCGGAGCCCGTGTCCTTGCACAGGTTTTCTAGCTGCTGCTGGAAAGCCCATTCGCTTCCAACTTCCCTGTGTGCCCAGCCCACGCAGCGTGCCAGTGCTCTGGGACATCGCGAGACCCTGGCGCTGTCCCTGCCAGTGCTGGTACTTCCCCAGCATCCCCAGTACGATTCCCTCCACTTCCACGGTGGACGAATGCTCCTGCCCTGCCTGATGCTGGGGGATCCCCAAGGCAGGGACCACAGAAGGTTGGAAGCGTCACCCCTGGCCCATGCTCATCTCAGGCCATACATCAACCTGCTCAGGCACGGGGCACGGCAGCGACTGGCACGCAGCTTGGAGGGGCTGGGTCCTTACCTGGCTTGTCCAGGGAGGCTGGGGATCGGCTCCACTGCATCAGGGCTGTCACTGCAGGAGGTGGATGGGACAGAGACATGAGGACTTGGCATGAGAAGGAAGCCCCTACCCCAGGCTTGTCCACAGGGAATCTTCTGGGGAGTCTGAACCTATCTAAGAGTTCAGGGAGCACCTAAGCCAGTCAACCTGAGCTTGGTCCATCCCTAACCCAGAGAGCCAGGGCTCACTCACGTGACAAAAATGGGGTAGATGAGGTTGGAGGCATCGAAGGTGGTTGCTGTACACTGCCAGGAGCGTAGCACAGGGTGGAAGTAGCCGCTGTGAAGAATGGAGTCCCCAGTACGATTCCCTCCACTTCCACAGTGGACGAATGCTCCCGCCCTGCCTGATGCTGGGGGATCCCCAAGGCAGGGACCACAGAAGGAACGCGTCACCCGGGCCCATGCTCATCTCAGGCCATACATCAACCTGCTCAGGCACGGGGCACGGCAGCGACTGGCACGCAGCTTGGAGGGGCTGGGTCCTTACCTGGCTTGTCCAGGGAGGCTGGGGATCGGCTCCACTGCATCAGGGCTGTCACTGCAGGAGGTGGATGGGACAGAGACATGAGGACTTGGCATGAGAAGGAAGCCCCTACCCCAGGCTTGTCCATCAGGCCATACATCAACCTGCTCAGGCACGGGGCACGGCAGCGACTGGCACGCAGCTTGGAGGGGCTGGGTCCTTACCTGGCTTGTCCAGGGAGGCTGGGGATCGGCTCCACTGCATCAGGGCTGTCACTGCAGGAGGTGGATGGGACAGAGACATGAGGACTTGGCATGAGAAGGAAGCCCCTACCCCAGGCTTGTCCACAGGGAATCTTTTGGGGAGTCTGAACCTATCTAAGAGCTCAGGGAGCACCTAAGCCAGTCAACCTGAGCTTGGTCCATCCCTAACCCAGAGAGCCAGGGCTCACTCACGTGACAAAAATGGGGTAGATGAGGTTGGAGGCATCGAAGGTGGTTGCTGTACACTGCCAGGAGCGTAGCACAGGGTGGAAGTAGCCGCTGTGAAGAATGGAGTCTGCCTGCATCTTCACTAGGAGGCTGTGGAAGGAGACTCTGAAACACCAACAGAAACCGGCAGGCTGGTTAGCGGCGGTGTCCTGGCAAGCCAGGGCTATTGGTGCATGCAAGGAGGGGGATGAGATCCAGACAGCCGCTGCAGGACCGTCCTTGTCCTGCTCCAGGCACACGTGGGGAGCGTGAGCTGCAGCCCAGCCAGCTTCGGCCCCACTCTCCCGGGGGCTGCCCCGCGCCGGGTGGGTGTTGCAGGACCCCGCATCAGCAGTCACAGCACAGCACTTCCCGTAAACAGGGATGGCGCCGACTCCTCCCCACAAAACGTCCCAATTCTGCGTGTGAAACCGCCAATTTACAGCCACCAGCGTCCTCCCGCAGCAGAACCACATTCACATGGTTCAACACTACCACCCTCGTCAGGCTCCGTCTGTTTTAGCTTGCGTAGCTGTAACAAGTTTTCTAATGATGAGATGGTCATTGCTTAATTCATTTTAGTTTTGCTTAACGCTGTATAATTGTGTGATACAGCTTTTGCACACAGAGTAGTAAAAAGCTGCTCTGCGTAGCACGGAGTATTTGTGGCCACAGTCTGAAGGTGCAGTTACAGAAGAGTACGGGCACTGGATGAGAGAGAGGTGCAGGATCATCCTGAAGACACCAGGACCACGAACCCCGCAGTCACACAACTCCAGAGGCCGCTTACTGCTGGATAAAGAAAACTTGGGAGTTGGGCAAAACTGATTTCAGGGGTAACGAAGAGCAATGACTCAATATACAGAAATCAAGTGTTAGCTATGTTATTGTTGAAACTTTTTCTTTAGCAATATTTTCTTCTTGTGTAACAGTTAGATCTAGTAATAATTCTGCGATTAGACCATTAAGATTTAAATTTCCACTAGCACTAAATTCTCACCAATGTGTGGTTGGTGAGAGTGCGACGGAAGGGGCCGGGGGAAGGTGGCTGCCCCGGGATGAGGCATTTGGCTGCAGCACAGAAGAGAGCAGCTGTTACGGCCGGGACGCCCGGGAAGCCACAGCCTGAACAACAGACTGTTTGTACAGAGCTGCTTCAAGGATTTGTGCTGGCTGTGTGCACAGGGCTGCATCCCACAAACATCCCCGCGCAGAGGAGCCGGGGGTGCCCCGGGAAACAAACAGCAAAGTCCCTGCTGGAGACCACAGATTTTGTTTCAAGAGCTGAAACCGGAGGGAGGCGGGTGGGAGGAGAGCTGGAGACGGGCTTCTGAAAGAGCAAGCGGGATTCCTCCGCTGGCTCCCCCGGGCAGGGCAGGGCTTCCCACGGGAGACAGAGCGGACACGAGGATGGGACCTGTCTCAGGGGAGCGGCCCCGCAGTCCCCAGTCCCGTCCTAGGAGGGATTCCCCAGCAATAAACCTCGCTGCCCCCGGCTCTCTCCGGAGAGCAGACACGGCTCACTTAGCATCCCAGGATGCAGTCCAGGGGAGAAAGTTTTACACCAGCACCCGTGACAGCAGTCAGCAACGGAGCTGGGCAGGAGATGGCTCCATTCTTCTGGAAAACCTTTAATTTGTGGTGTTCACCTATTTTACACACGCAAGACCCTTCAGATATTCTAATGCTGAGCCAAATCCTCAGTCGGTATCAGGCCACCCCAGCGCATAGGGCACTTGTAATATAGGGGCATCGCGCTCAGTCCAGGGCTTGAACTGAGGCTCTCGTTCCCCTAGCAATCACCTCTGCTTGGGGATGGGGGAAAAGGCACCTCTCAATTACTTACAGGCTTACACATATAAAAGCACTGTGTAAAAAAATCGGATGGTGCTTGCGGGGGACGCAGACCAGCTGACGGGCACGCTGGCAGTGTCACGGCATCACTTTGCAAGTAATTTTTAGCACTGGAAAGGTGCCGCTCCAGTCCTTACTCGCAGGGAAGGGGTCAGCCCTCGGGTGAGCTGGAGTCGGCAGCCCCAGTGCAGCGGCTGGGCTGCTCAGGCAGGGCTCCAGGCAGGGCTCCAGGCAGGCAGCAATCGAGAACAAAGGGCTCAGTGAGCAAAACTCACCTCGAGAATCCAAAAAATGCTTTAAACAGCTAATCCCACAGGAGGAAGGGGAGGGGGGACACGGGGTGGGACCAGAGGCACCTGACTGTAGGGGACAGATAGAGGCCACAGCTCCAGAAACTGCCCTCTCCGGGAAAGGAGGAGACGGGCACCTGGCAGAATTGCAGAGCGGAGATAACAGCCAGGACGGGTGGGCCCCGGCGGAGCGCCCGTCTGCTGCGAGGCCAGGGGAGCCGGGGTGCCCCTTACGAGCCCCGCATGCAGGAGAAGCTGCTGCCGGCTGCAGGCTCCCCTTGCCCACGCAGGGCACCCCGTCGGACGAGGGCACCGGCATCTTACAGCCGCAGAGCTGCCGCGCGCCCCACAGCTGCCTGACAGCCAGGGAAGGGCAGGAGGGATGCAGAGCAAGGACTGCAAGACGATAAGGGACGTTGCACCACATACGCTACGCCCTCGAACAGGGCTGTTTCCCCCGAGATCCCCTTAGGGCTCCCAGCAGAGCACACGTGCCTCTTTCCCCGACATGAATGGCCCAAATCTGTCTTTCTAAAGCAATTTGCTTCATGCACACCAGTAAGGAGGAGTTTAAGAAGAGCCCTGCAGCTCCCTCCCGAGCAAACGGCTCCGCAGCAGAGTGGTTTCACCTTTGCTCCTTCACACTGGGACTGCTCGAGGACCAGCCCAAACCCGCAGCACCTGAACCCGTGCCTTCGCCCAGCCCGGGGGCCCACCGCAGTGACCCCGGGTGCCTCGCTGTAGTCGAGGAAAGAGAAGCAACCGCAAAACGAGAGCACTGTGCACACGCCACCCCCCCCCGTTTGCACTAGCACAAATGGAACAAACTTAGCGGACGGGCTGAAGCCAGACCCGACGCACACCAAGGGTGAGCTGCGAAGCTCTGCTCCAGCTGCCGACAGCACCGCCGGGCTGGCAGCTGCCCGTTCTCCGCCGAGACACGAGGAAGTTGCCTTTTGGGATACAGAAACGCAGGCGGCCTCGTCCTTCGCTGCACGACTGTCTACCTGAAACCCTGGAGACACGCGAGCTCCTGAAATCCCAGGTGGGAGCGGGGACGGACCGGAGCTTACTAGGAAAGCGGAGCTCCCCAGGGAGACAACGGAGCTGTGGGTTAATTAACAGTCGCTAACAAAGGTCAAGACGCTAATGAAGATTTCCTTTTCCAGGTGAGATCTGGAAACGGGGATGCTCGGGGATGCTCGGGGTGTGTGTCTGTAATTACACCGCAGGATGAACGGTGGCTCCGGACCGCCGCCAGCCCGCAGCATCGCACGCCGCTCGGTGCTCTCCCCACGTTTGCCACGGTAACCGCCGGTTACCGAGCCAAAAACGGGCTGCCCCTTGCTGTGACCTTACACCAGGGCTGCCCTTGCTGCCTGCACACAAGCGCTGCCTCCTTGCCCGGCCGGGCCCTGCCCCCGGAGTCGTCCCGGTCTACGGCCTCCGAGCAGCCCTG